AGGACCCGGCACTGAGCCTTGTTGAACCTCACCCCATTGGCACAGCCCATCAATAACATTCACACCACTGTCACTTTTTCTGATATATTTTCCCTTAGGCCTTTTCACACAGTCAGCAGGATTCCCTGAGTATGGAACAGCACTTACCAGACTCCTTGGCTTTGTTCCTCTCTGCCTCTGTGCTGTTTCTATCCATCTCCATGCCCCCTGTCAACTGCTTCACTGTCTCCAGCATCTCCCTCCGCTGCTCCTCCTGTGCCTGATTGTCGAGCAGCAGCTCTTTACTGCTGCTGCCCCGCAGGAAGGTGTTGGGACGGGAGAGGGAAGGTGGCAGAGGTTTGTCGTTCTTCTCCCTGCCCGTGCTCCCGCGACTGCGGAACAGAAACCATGTCTGCTTAAAGGTTGTGGTACGAGTAACCCCTGCTCACAGTGCTGAAACGCTGGACAAGATACTGGAGAGCTTTAGAGAACTGCAGGTAAAAACCCCACACCTGAACCCAGCAGGATTCTTGTCTCAATGTTTTACAGTTGTAGTTACACAGAATATAATCAAAATAAACTCAGGTCTCAGAGATGGACAAACACAAACACCCACAGAGTGGACAGGCAGAGCCCAGAGAACACATGGAAAAGCAACAACATCCTCACAGCACCCCTTACAGCCCTGACCTGACCTGCACACCTATTCACTACAACATTTTACCTGAAGGGTTTTTAACCTGTGATAAACTACCAGTGAATGAGACCTTAGGTGAAGGGTGACCAAAAAGGGGAAAACATTCACTGTAATGGCTTTAAAAATTAATACTACCTGTCTCTCCTATATTATAAAATGTTTTAAGATAACTGGAAGCACACAGTTGGAAGGGGAAAAGAGGCAGTCATTCCTGGAAACTCAATGAAATTCTCTTCTTTCTGTGTGCTGGTAACTAGAGCAGCAAGAGGAAAGCACCAGTGTGCAGAGAGCAGAAAGGGAAGTCATTGCTGGGCTGACACTCACCTAGTTAAGGCCCTGCGAGAATCTAGTTCTGAAGATGGAGATGAGGCAGATACAGATGACACTGGAGGCTGCAGCGCAGAAAACCTGTTCAAACTCGTGGCACTTGGTCGTAAGGAGTCTGGAGGTTGCAAAAACAACACAGAGAAGAGCGATGACAAGGTCAGTAACCGCTCACACCTCAGCATCTCAACGTCATTTAAGCAATAGCTGGTTTTGGAGTGATGGGGAGAGAACTGAAGAGAAAAGGCTGGTCCTGTCCCGCTTCCACCCCCTTGTCAGGCAGTCACATGTGGTCATGAGCATTCCCACCCAAGTCCACCCCTGGCAGGGTGGCTGGTGGCACCACAGAGGGCAAGGGCCTGTCGGACTCACCCATCTCGCTTGCCTTCGCTCCACCACTGCTGCCCTTTCCCCAGCTGCCCAGCTGGGCTTTAGGCACAAGCTGAATCTTCTCGTCTATTGTGGGCTGTAAAACACATCAAGACACCCCATTACCAGGCTGAGCGTACATCTTAACTACAAATGGGTGTTTTTGGCAACAAACCCTGTCTTGTGAATACAAGAATACTTTTAACACAGGTTTGGAATCAATCACAGAATCCCAGCCTGGTTTGTGTTGGAAGGGACCTTAAAGCTCATCCAGTTCCAACCCCCTGCCACAGGCAGGGACACCTTCCACTAGAGCAGGTTGCTCCAAGCCCGTGTCCAACCTGGCAATGAGAAGCACAGACCATGCTAAGTGGTCACAACTATCCTTCTGCTGAACACTTCCATTGGATTTCTCTCCCCCTTTGCAGTGCTGATGACCTTAAGTTCCTTGCCAACCCTAACCATTCTATGATTCTATGATTTATCCCTTTTTGGTGGTCTGTGAAAGGCAACATCGCAGCATATCCCATCAGTGCATGGTAAACTGTAACTGACCAATGTTGGAAGAACCTTTTTTGGCTTTGCATGGACATTAATTTTAATATAATTCTTTGTGCAAATGGATCTTCCAATGCAGACAAAGAAAGAGCAGAAGGATGAAACTTAAAGGACTTAAATGAACAGGCCATGTGTCATAGCATTAAACCTGGCCTCCCACTCTGCAACCCTCAAACTCGGTATAAATTCTGTTACTGAGTTCCAGAGAGGGGAAATTTATCACCAAACTTTCTGAGTCACGTTGGGAGACCAAACCCCACCCAGAGACAGAGGACACGGACAACAAAGGGATCACAAACAGCCTTTCCACAGCGTCACTGAAAGACATTCCCAGTGACCAGGAGCTTCTTTTTATTGGGAACTCTGAAGTCCATTAAGGAGGAAAAAGCACAGGACATCAGCACTGGGAAGATGTTCAGAGGGTGAAGAATGACAACAGGCTGCAGAACTTGGAGGGAAAACATCCAACAAAACGAGAACATTGATTTTACAATGCTCTGTAGGTGAATGTATTGACAAGGAGGTTGTGACTCCCAGATCTCTTCATACGAGCTCCCCTCTCCTCTGACAACCCAACTTGTGGAGCTTGCTCTACTTGTACTGCAGCTGTACTAAAAGGAGTAGAAAGGCTTTGCCCAGATGAGCTGTAAGCCCAGACAGAAGCAGCCTGAATCCCTCCTGCTAATTAAGTTTTGGAGCCTGTTTTACGACTCCCACAAGGAACAAACTGAGTCTGATCTGCAGAAGGGCTGCAGCCTGTCCCGGTTCTGCTTTACAGCTCTTTTTCTAACCCAGGCACTGAGAGTAAAACTCAGGGAGAGTGACATTAATTAGGACAGGGAATGTCTAGGAATCTCCCTGATTTATGGGAAGGCCGGAGTTCTTGGTGAGAACAGCCAAAGCTGCTCTGAAGATCATCAAAAAGAGGCATCTCCAAGCTTGCCTGACCTGCAGCCTGAAATAAATGTTCCCAAAGTACCATTCTGATGGTAAAAACACAGGGAAATGCTCATCTGGAGGATGGGTGTGAAAGTTTATCACATACTGTGGGATGCAACTGCGCCACACACGAGTCCAGGAACACCATAAAAGCGGACACAGCTCTTCTTGTACTGCTTGAACCTGTCAAGCCTGGAGCACTGCCACGTCAGGAACATCATGTTTTCAGGTTGAATGTGGCATCTTCATTCTGCTAAACAGCAGCGTCAGAACAGGGCCTTCAGAACTTGAGGCAGCAAAGGATTTCTGCCCAGGCAGGTGCTTGAGACCCCCGCTGCATCAGCCACATGATGTGCTGCATCATCACACACAACACCCTGACTCATGTTCAATTTAATCATTTAGTAAAACACACATTTACCAACAAAGAGAACTTCTGGGTCACTAAAAAGATGCCATGAACCTGAGAAAAAATGTGTGTGTACTCCTTTCCCTCACAACAAACAGAAAAGGAATACTCAGAAGACAAGAGAGTTTTCCTCTGTGCTTTATTTAGGCACAGGATTAACTCAAGGGATATAAAACACCCCCAAACCCAAGTTTTGACCTGTAAACACTGTGTTGATCTTTTCTAGACAGACACACAGAGTTAGACAAGACCCTGGCATGTTTGTTGCTTTGAATGAGTCTCGTGCTGGCACCTACCTTGGTGATTTTAAGGAACTTGGTGGGGTCCAGCACTCTGCTGTTCTTTGCCCCCTGCACAGTGTTCCAACCGCCTTCATCGACCCGCTGGACACCTGACAGACAACAAACACAACCACCCTGAGCTCATCCCTGTGGCTCCAGCAGCGTCCAGGGGGACAAGGACCATCACCTCCAGGTCCAGCAGGAGAAGGAGACGGCACAGTTCTGCTCAGCCCCAGCACAATTCTGTGCAGAAATCATGTCTTTTGGGAGTGTTTCTTTGGAGTAAGATGATGTAGCCAGGTTGCCTGACTTTATTATTACAAAACAGCTTTGACACAAAACATCTTGCTGTTTGCAAAGGGTGGTTTTGGCTGTGATTCTTCCTGGTCAGGTTTCTCAGTATCTGTTCCTGTGATCTGGATGTGGCTGCACACGGTGCATTCACAAGCTCACCAAAGGAGCAGACCACACGCCTCTGCTAACCCAAACCCACCCCACGTGTTGCACAGGTTTCAGCAGCGCTGGGCTGGTGTAGACACAGAACCCCTTGGGCAGTCCCGAGTCCCTCCCTTCTCCTGATGTCAGTTTTAGGGTGATTAAAGCCTAATCCTCACCATTCCCCTGCAGGTAGCACCAGCCTCAAGGGCTGGTGGCAATTTAAGGTAATGCCAAGACACTTTCTCCTGCTGAGTTAACAGCTCACAACTCCAACAGCTAAAGTCAACATGGTTACTCTTGGAATTAGATGCTCTTCTCTTGAAATTGGATTCTGCTGTATGAGAGAATGGATGGCAAATCTGGCTCCTGCGTCCTGACTTGTTACAACACATTCCTGGCAGCCTGACACCAGATCAAATATGGTTTGCATGAACGTGAAACTTAAGCACTATTGGCCTGTGGTTGTTTCTTCTTTCCCCAAGGGATTTGCCCCCTAAAAAAATCGACAGAGCCAGTCCATGGCATGTCTGTTCCGCTCCAGCCTCAGCCACAATCAGGCCTCGATTCCCTTCACTTTATACACTAAGGAAAAATCAGATTTTTCTCTGTTATGTGGGATTCCCTCCATGGCCACTGGATGGGAAATGAGTGAAAGGAGCAGCCGGCTTGGCTTGTACTTACCCGGTCTCCTCTTCTCTTTGGTCATGAGTTGTTGGACCTTCCTCTGCTCCTCTTGCTCTTCAATCTTGGCTTCTTTATGAATCTGCTCGATGGTCTTGGGGCCCTGGTCTGCTCTCCGCGACACCCAGTTGCACTGGGGAAGAAGCAAAGACGTGCTCAGACACACTTCCAGGGGAGCATTGGGAACAGAGTGTTTTACCCTGCGAATGAGGCACCACCCTCCCACCCTTGTCATGTCTTGGAGGGGCAGCTCACGAGGGATTGGGGTCATGTTGTGGAAGTGGTTATCCAGCACCACAGGTCAAAGCTATGTGCTCTGGTACGGACACTAGTAGGTGTTGTGGTGGAGAGTGGAGGTTGCAGTGAAGACCTGACTCTGCAGAAGCATGACTGAGTTCAGGACATTTTAACCCCCAGCATCCTGCACATTCCCAGCTTTCCTGTCTTTCTAGGATCAGAAGAAAGAGAAGACTACAGGGACGCTGCTGTCACTCTCTGTTACTGACACCCTTTGCTGAAGCCCTTCCTCCAAGCTCGAGATAAAAAAATGAAACCCTGAAAAAAAGCAGCAAGAAGTGACTGCATCTTATCTGGAGATGGTGCTTTGCCACTCCTGGATCATGATGGCTGAGACAGGAATCCTGCAGAGAGAGGTGGAGCTGTCTCTCCACTAAACAATTCCGCTGCTTGATGCGTCTATCTGACCATACACTGCACAGATCCATCTCTCCTCACTTAACCCAACTGTCCCTTGATGTTGCCACAACCTCATTACAGCCTTTGTGGTAACTACCATTGTGTACCCTGCAGTCAAAACGGTGACTTCAGCTTCCACAAAACCCCAAACCAGCTTCAAAACAGCTGGTTGAGGTACGAGTAAAACCTGCTCAGGACTTGAGTCAAGCGCTGTCTTGTGCCCAAAGCTGCTGTCACACTACAGGGGTGACATTACAGGCGCTGGTCTGTGCAACCTGCAGTCACATCCTCAACTGCATGGTACAGAGACACCCTTCACTGCACGAGGCTCCAGCTTTTAACACTTTGGCCACATTCAAAACTGCTGTTTTATGACAATATGGACAAATCTCCACCTGCACCGTGGGTGCACTTGTCTACACCACGGTATTACTGATCTATGGAGTTCAGGGTGGACCCACCACTGTCACATCCTGACAGAGCAGATTCCATTTGCTCCTGTCTGCACAATGCAGCAGGAGACAACTAGCAGACGCCTGGCTGTGCCAGCAATATAGGACCAGCTTCCAAGGAGATCCATACTGCCTTGGGGAAGAGCCCTCACCACTGTTACAGCCACGCCAACCACCCCCTCGCGTGTGGGGGACGCTTCTCAGAGTGATTCAGCCCCATCAGCACAAGTGCTGGCAGGGAACAGAAACACCCAGAGCACATGGAATCAAAGGCAGTGAAGCAATGTGACTGACACAGAGAGGCACAGGGGATGCTGTGGGGGAAACCCACCCAAAACCTCTCCCGTGACAAGAGCTCAGGGGTGTCTGCTGCTATGAGGCTGCACTAGGAGAAGCCAGCGTGGACATGTGTCTGAAATCAAGCAGAACCAAAGCACCTGACACAAGCAGTTCACCCATCTACCTACACTGGCCTCTGTTATGGCAAGATGAGAGATTTCTTGTCTTTAATCAGCCAGACTTTTGGGGCACAGATCTCCCCCTAACACTCCACTGGTGCTGTACACACACTGTAAATCCCTGCTCTTGCAGGAGAGCTCTTCCAGCCCGGACGTGAAAGGGAACATGTTCTTTTACTTACTTGAGTTAGTACCTACCAGCCTAAGGTCTATCACATCCTGAAGCATGAACCGAATCCTTGAAGACGTTTTCCTCTCTTTCACAATCTTCTCCATCTGATTAAAGTACTGGTCCATGCGAGGCTACACAAGAGAAACATCATTATCACCAGTGAGTCTTAGAAGAAAACAGAAACGCTCCCTCAGGTGGGGAGTGAGCAGGTTCTGCATTTCTGTGTCAGAAAAACACAGCTGGGGACACAGAGCTGCTCACCAGAGAGGTGACTGTTGGGTCTCACATGTTCCCCCAGGTTGGATTTGAGTGTGCACAGTGCAAGATGTGCAAGAAATGAAGAACAAATCTGTGGGCACCTCCTTCATCTGGCACTTGCTTTCTCTATGTATTTAAATACTGAAATAATCTACCCCCTCTGCATGGAATCCCAGCCTGGTTTGGGATGAAGGGACCTTAAAGCTCCTCCAGCTCCAACCCCTGCCACGGGCAGGGACACCTTCCATAGAGCAGGTTGCTCCAAGCCCCTGTGTCCAACCTGGCCTTGAACACTGCCAGGGATGGGGCAGCCACAGCTTCTCTGGGCACCCTGTGCCAGCGCCTCAGCACCCTCACAGGGAAGAGCTTCTGCCTCAGAGCTCATCTCAGTCTCCCCTCTGGCAGGTTAAAGCCATTCCCCTTGGTCTGTCCCTACATCCCTTGTCCAAAGCCCCTCTCCAGGTTTCCTGGAGCCCCTTTAGGCACTGGAGCTGCTCTAAGGTGTCCCCTTCAGGAGCCTTCTCTTCTCCAGCTGCCCCAGCCCAGCTCTCTCAGCCTGGCTCCAGAGCAGAGCTGCTCCAGCCCTCGCAGCAGCTCCGGGGCCTCCTCTGGCCTCGCTCCAGCAGCTCCATGTCCCTCTTGTGCTGTTCCCCAGAGCTGGATCAGGGCTGCAGGGGGGGTCTCCCCAGAGCGCAGCAGAGGGGCAGGATCCCCTCCCTGACCTGCTGCTCACGCTCTGGGGGTGCACCCAGCACACAGGGGGGTTCTGGGCTCAAACACACACTGAAGCCCATGGGGAGCTTTGTACATAATGAACCTGCCACCCACTGTGGTTTTTCTCACAGTACAGCTGCTGGCTTCCTGCTGGCAAAAAGGGGAGTCCTGCTCTACCTCAGCCTGAGAAAACTGACTCAGGAAACTAAACAGGTATGAAACTAACCCTGCAGGTACCGTTCCAACACTTTGCCTCCCTGAACTGGCTCAGCTGGGGTCAAGTAGGAGAAGCTGCAGCAGAAGCTGCTCTCTACCAGGAACCTGTTGAATGGGCTCAGCTGTAAGTGTGAAATCCCATGAGCTCATTCTCATCCAAGAAGTCACGATGTGATGGAATCCAAAAGGGTTCACATTAAGACATCAACTGGTATCATCAGAGAAGCCTCCAGTAGGTCTAAATTTAACCTGTCAGGCTCCAAAAAGCCTATTTCCCCCAAAATGGAGCTCTGGCTGTTTTAAACTGAGTTTCAGGGTGGTTTTACAAAGTGTTTCCCACTCCCTCACTAGAAGTAGCCAAACCCTTTCCCTTCCACTTGAACAAGGAAGAAAAACCCTGTTAAAATTTGGTTCTGGCTTTGCCTTTGAAAGGTTTCAGCTCAAGAGCAAATGTTTCCAACGTTAGGAATGACGGGGAAAATATTTGACATGGACTTTGTCCAGGAGCTTTAATCATAACGCTCACTAACACTTCAGCTTCAATAAAAATGTGTAATAAAACATCTACCCCACTAATAGAAAATAAAGAACGGATTATCACTTGATAGGAATAAGAAATCACAAAGACAGGACAGGGGCAACACGACATCTGCCAGTGCTTCCCTGACTGTACTCGCTGGGCCACGTGGTGCCACGGCTCCAGGTTGCAGAAGGGGCCAGTGTGACAAAATGTTGGCTTCTACCACATTTCCATGCTCTCAAAGACCAAACCAGCATCCAGGAGCCATCAGCATGACCTCAGCTACTGCTCAGAAGTCAAACCCTGTTTTCTTCCCAAAGCACGTGGAGAAATTGAATCCTGCTCCTGGCACTTCCAAAGCCGTGTTGGTGACGTGCGCGCTGCTGCGTTAACAGTGTATTCAGCTGGGGGATCAGTGGTGAACTGCGCCGGTGTGGCTGCAACACGGAACAGTTTGGGAAGCTGCTTCCCCATAAGGATCAGGATTGATCCACTGTGATCCCTGCAATCCAGAGCCCTGTTAGGAAACTCCCTTCCCGAGCAGCTGAAAGCAATTACAGCTCCATTTGCTTCAGAGCTGAGTCCGACTGATTCCTGGCAAACCCCCCGAGTACTGTTTCATCCCAAGCCTGGCTTTGGGGAAGGAAAAGCAGATTGTCTGTGGCAGGAGGAGCTCAGCGAGCGTGTAATGCTCCATGCTACATAGATGTTTGTTGGAAAATAGGGAGGAGGTGGATGGAGCACTGCAGTTGCTTCACTCTGGAATGATGGTGACACAAAATGATGCATCCACCAGGATGCAGGGGTGGGGAGTGTCAGGCAGTTAATGAGGGTTTTTTTAGATTTAACCCTAAAAATACATTAAAGTGGTACATTCTGTAGGTAATATAAACCTTCAATGGTAAAGAAACAACAAACAAAGTTTTCTAGACTCTGTTTGGATTAAATATTTGGAAACAACAACTGGAGAACACTGCTGAAAACACTCCAGAATGTTACAGACAAGGGGCCAGGTCATGATGAAACATCCACAGGAGCAGATGATTTCCTCATGCCATACTCCCATTCCTGAAGGAAAACCAAGTAAATCTTCAAATAAACCCTCCCTACACCCATGTTTCCATCCCTGCCCACGAGGCCTCATCTCCCACTCCTAGTCCTGCCCTACCTTTGCCTTCTCAAAGTCCAGGTCCTTGCCAATGGTGGTCAGGAGGCGGCAAAGGCACTCGAGGGACTCCTCGTCATGGTTCTTCAGCAGCTTCACCACGCAGTCATGCATGATGGCCTCCGTCAGCATCTTCAGTTTGAAAAGCTCACCAATGAATTTTATATTCCCAATGGATCTCCGTCGGGCTTTGTCCTTGGCCTCTTCCAGCTCGTCATGGAGCCGCGTCTTCTCCTCTGGCTGTATAACAGAAAAACAGCTCTAAAAGGCCATGTTCACAGAGCACAGATCACTTCAAAGGTCCAGTTTTATGTTTATTATAGTTGTCGTTGTGCCTATTTACTCTTTTTCTCCTAAAGCCCCAAACGAGGATGGTCTAAACCTGCTGATCGAGGCAAACAGTTTTTATTAGGCTCAGTCACAATGACAGAACGAAACTCCTGACTTCCAAACTCTTCCCACATCAACTCCCTCTTCAAAAGAGATCATGTTCAGAGGGAGCTCTTAAGAATTTATGGGGAAAACACCACTTACAGTGGTTGCAGCTTCAAGTTCTTTCTGCTTCTTTTCAAAGACGTCGTCGTCAGCCTTGTCCTTTTCAAACTCCTTCTGGCAGCGATTTAACAGCAACTTGCGGAAGTTCACCGTGCTCCCGGGTTTGTCTGCCATGGGCACCTTCAGCTGGAGGACAAGGAAGGAAAACATCAGCAGAAATAGGGCTAAACTCTACGTGTGAGTGAGGTTTCCTATGAGCCATCATCACACTCTGTCATGCACTTCATATTGGGTAGCACAACCCTGCACAGCTCTGGATGTCAAAGCATCGTGTCATGATTTCCAGTGGAGCTTTACATTTCGGATGTAAAGTCACACTCAGAACTTGGCTGACACCACCTCAGCCCAGAGACAATTAAATTTACATCCACAGGATCCTTTCTAAAGACACACTGCTTAAAATTACACTTGTTCTGTGCTGCAGACTCTGGAGCTGTGCTCCTTTGCTGTGTGCCGTGAAGGATCAAGGGCAGAAGGGGGTTATTTCATCCCAGATACTGACATGGGGAGATTCAGGTTGGAGATAAGGCAGAAGCTCTTCCCTGGCTGCCCCATCCCTGGCAGTGTTCAAGGCCAGGTGGGCCCCGGGGCTTGGAGCAACCTGCTCTAGTGGAAGGTGTCCCTGCCCGTCGCAGGGGTTGGAGCTGGATGATCTTAGGAGTCCTTTCCAACCTAAACAATTCTCTGATTCTGTGGTTCAAATTCACCCTCTGAAACGAGCTGTCTGAAGCTCAGCTCAGCCCCTGTGGGCTCTCCTCTGAAACGAGACAGAAGCTGAACTTTCCAAACGTGACTCCAGCCTGTGGACAGGCTGGAGAGGGGCCAGAGAAAGGCCACAAAGATGATCCAAGGACTAGGAAACCATGTGAGGAAAGGCTGAGAGACCTGGGCTTGCCCAGCTGTGGGAAAAGGAGACTCACAAGAGATCTTATCCCCTTGTTCCAGTATTTAAAGGGTGACTACAAAGAAGCTGGAGACTCTCTGTTTATCAAGAGTCCCATAGAAAAGACAAGGGGTGATGGGCACAAGTCACTCCTGGGGAGATTCTGACTGGACATGGCGAGTTTTCCCACTGAGAACAATCAGTCACTGGAATAATCTCCCCAGGGAAGTGGTGGATTCCCCGATGTTGGACAGGGTGCTGGGACATCTAGTCTACGTCATGCTTGGCCTAGAAAAGTTGGACCAGACAATCCTTGAGGTTCCTTCCAACATGGGATTCTGTGATCCTATGACTCGTTGCATATGACTCTCGTGAGCAGGCAGAGCCAAGTGTCCTCATCTCCAACCAGCACATCACTCCAAGCAGAGTCCACTGCCTGCAGGCACGGGCAATGGCTGCTGAAGAAGAAATCCCTCACAGGAATGATTTTTATTGATGTTCAGAAACTAACCCTTAACCCTGCTCTTGCCACGCTTGTGTTACTGCCCATCAGGTCATGGGGATAATGTGCAGAACATCCCCATGCAGAGGAATCTTCGTGTCTCTGGCAGCTCTTACCGTTACAAGACACCTGCACATGTTGGCGTAGGCCACCGAGAAGCTGGGTTCATCGATGGCCTTCTCGAAGACCAGGTCGATGACTCCTTTCAGCCTCTCTTCTGTGTCTACCGTCAGGTCTGTCACTTGCTTCATGAGCTGGTTGAACATCTGGGGTGTCAGCTTGTTCAAGATGCTTCGTACCTTGCGGAACAGCTCCTGAAGGACAGAAAAACTGTGAGTTTAAGCCTAAGTCAAACAGACGCTCTCAGAAACGAGCCGGGACACAGCGTAAAGGTGAATGGAAATATGGGAACTTCCAGGAAGTTACACACAATCCAGCTTCAGTTCTAACTCAGCTACCAAAGACCAAGGCTGTGGGTAGGGTTTCGGGAAATGCCCAAGTGCTTTTTGCTTCCTGTACAACAGAGGCACAAGGCTCTTGCTGCCACTCAGTGAAAGTGTCTTCGTGGATCAGTTTAGCCATGAGATAAACTAACAGGGAGTGGCCTCCTCCTGCCTCAACCAGAGATTATTGACTTCTATATTTACTTCAAGGCACCTTTTTCCCCTACCCAGAATGATAATGAGGTCAACAACTCTGCTGTTAACCCTGAGAACAGAATTCCTGCGTCCCTCAAGCCTATCCCAACTTAGCCTACAAACTACAATCTGACCACCAGGTAAACATCTCTGCCCAGAGTGGCTGCCCCATGGAGGAGAGGAGGGGCAGACAGACACATAGACGTGCTGTTGGGCTGGACAGGAGGAGCTGAGGGAACTTCACAGAGGAACCTCAGTCTTGCTGAGTCTAAAAGGGGATGAAAAGCAAGTTCTGTGCTGGAAGGTTGAGCTTGTTTGCTTTAATGGAGACAGAAATATTCTAGTAAAGTAGCAAAACAATCCTGGAGGAGAGGTAGTAGGTTGTCTGGTGTTCCCTCCTGAGAGTCCCTTAACAGACAGGGTTGCCATTTAAGCTCCAGGTCAAGAATAAACACATGAAAAAAACAATCAAGGCAGGGGAGAGCTGTGGTTTAATCTGGAATTCACTGCCCTTTTCCATGGTCTTACACAACAGCTAAAGCAAATCCCCAGCCTCCCTCTGTCACACACTGCTGTGCTCTCCAGAGCTCTCACCAACACTCTCACCTGGGTTTTGACATTCTCTGGGTCCTCGGTTTGGTTTTCTCTCTTCAGGCTCGGCTTCCAGGCGTTCTCTGCCTTCTTCAGGTGCACATCCTCCTTCACACACACAGTGATGATTTTCCTGGGCTCTCTCCTCTGGCCTGGCTGCGATCTCCTCGGTCCAACATTCAACAACTAGGACAAAAACATTCCTTGTTATATCCCCTTTTAAGCTCACATCTCGACAACACACTCCAGGGCACATGCCAACGCCGACAAACAGCAGCTCCTCCTTGGACTTTGAGGACTCCCTCTGACCCAACACACTGCTCCACGTTGGTCAGAGGGAACATGAAGACACCAAACATGCTTCTCTCAGGCAGCTTTTCCCCAAACCAGGTATGGGATGACCACAGCCTACACGCATCGGCGATGCTCCGGATGCTGCTTGAGCAGAACTGAACCCAACCGACCAAAGCAGCCTCTTGAAAGCCAGAAACTGCGTAACTGCGACATCACAGCAAAGGTGTATTTAAGGATTAGTAAGTCCTTAGGGGTGTATTTCAAACATCCCAAGCAATTAGATAAAGATAAATCAGCAGCTCTGCTGAAAATGTGAAGTTTTACTGGAGATTGCTCCAACAAAGCCGTTCTGAGACAGGAATGACACAAGCCACACTGAACGGAGCATCACCGTGGCTCCTGATTATAGAAACATGGATCCTAACAGACATGGGTCAAACCCTTTGTAGTTTCACAGAAGAAAGGGACACATGGTACTTTGTTTGAAACAGCATCAAGCACCTCTCTGCAATCCTGTATAACATGATGCTCCTCCCAGTCAAATCAGGTACAAAACCTGCCAAAACCGGGGAGTATTTCATCAGCTGTACAAGTGACAGGGCACAAGACACCCCAAACTCCCTCTTCATCACTGGGAGCTTCTGATTAAGGATGAAAGGTCACCAATGTTGTCAGGTGATTCCTCCCACATGCTCTTTCATACTTCTGAACTCATTCATTAGAAATGTCCAAGCTCAATGTAAAAATCAGTACAGCAACAAAACTCCATTATCAAACCCTGTTACTTTCCACAGAAGTCATTAATCTCCTCAGGGGGCAGTGGGCAACCTCCACGTGAAAGAAGGGCCATTAAAATAATTTCTTTGTTCAACAAAGGGATTCAACGAGCATCAGAGAGGCAAAACCAGCTCAGTTATTCAGCTTCACTGAATACAGGAGGAAACTGCTCTTAGCTGGTGCCTCTTACGTGGTGTATCAGCCCCAAACCTGGTTTTGCACTATTAAAAGCCCAAATCCTCCTTAAAGACAGGAGCTTGTATCTGCAATTTGAACTGCTTGGCTTTGACAATGTCAACGTGTGCTGTGGATGAAAGCAAACACAATCACCACCACTGCTGGAGCTCTTGTTTGAGCTTCATTATGGATAACAGCAACAGAGTAAGCTGTTGTCAAAAGACAACAACCTCACGCTGTGCATGATGCATGGAACAGGGTGACATGGTACGGTGTCACCTATACCCACCACCTACTGAGATCTTTGTCCAGATCCCAGCAGCACACACAGAAATAACCCATCACATCATTTTTGGGCGCAAGCCATAACTGTAACACAACTGTGTGAGTCCATTGCTCATGAGAAACCAACAGTGGAACGAAACAGCAAGAACAGGGGGTCTTCACGATGCTTTTGGGTGTTAGAACCTTCCTGCACCAAGCACCAATCCGTTCTGCTCCCACCAGCTTGAGAGTTGGTGTCGACAGCCCTTGCTCAACACCAGCACGATGCAACGAAGTCCGCTTTGGATATTGAGACACCCACCTCTGGTTTTATGCCATTTCATTCAGTTCTGCTGCCTAAGTTCTAACCACACTGCAAACATATGGCTGTGGAAAGCAGAAACTTCCCTCCAGCTGGAAAACCAGACAGTAACGCAACAGCAAAGCGACTGGTTTCAGCCACGCGTGTTAGACCTCACCACACAGCTCCTGGCCCACGGGAAGCTTGGGAATCAGAGCCAGGCTGGCAGCGGGCCCTGAAATCCGAGTGTTTGGGCTCGTTTCCCCCAGGAACATGGGCAAAGCCAATGAGAGGGAACCTGTGGCTGCCCCGTCTCTCCTGCAAGAGGCAGCTCCGCTTTGCAGAACCTTCCCACCGCAGCTGGGCCACAGGGGTATGGAGCTTCCTGGGATAGGGGTCCAGGAAAGCCAAAGCCTTGGCATGTAGAACAAACGTGCCTCCCTGAGGGAGGTGACTATTCCCCTGGCAAAACAGGTAACTGCAAGGAGCACTTGTGCATCTCCTTGTGCAGCATGTTGCATGCCACAGCCTCCTCAAACCTGGCTGCCTTCAAGACCAGACCTTCAACTGCATTCACAGAACAAAGACTTCCTTTAGGGTTATATTCTTTTAATATCTGTGAATAAACTCAGTTCAAACTGTTGGATTAGGTTTTAAAAGCAGCGAACAGGAGCCTCCTTTGAAGGTGTAATAAAATAATGCACGGATCAAACTTAAACCAGAAAAAATCTGGGTTTTTTTGGTTCCAGATTTACAAGGCAGCAAGTTAAAGATGTGCCTCCTTTTTGTAACCCAGCCCAAGTGAATAACAACGGGTCTGCACCACCTGTGATTACAGAGCTGCAGCTTGCACTGAAACAGTATTTTCCACCAAAGGCACAGAGAAACGATCACCAGATGTTACTGCATTCATTTGGATTACCTGTCTTCTGGATGAAGAGGGAGCAAAAAAGGAAAGCAGGAAGAAACAGGGACAAGCCTCCTGCAGAGGAGCCCAGAACTCGCAGCAGCACAGCACAAGCCATTGCTCTCCCTCAAGGTCCACTTCCACTCTCAGGCCACGAGTCACAGTAATGCTTTAAAAACCATCCCAGAAGTGAAAGAACTGCTTCTTCCTCTGTAACAGGCTTCAAATGCAGAAGGGGAAGTTGAGCTTGGCTGCTAGGAGTGACTCTGCCTCCCAGGGAAGCACAAGCATTGAGGTGACTTGAGCTCCCATCACCCCATTCTGCCTCGGTGCATGGGGCCGACAGGTCCTCTCCAACCCTAGCTCTTTGTGTTTGAACTTCCTACCCACTGCACTCCTCTAACTCCTCGTCCACATCAAGAAGTGTTTCTGAGCTCCACTTTGTTCCTGTGTAGTTCCACCCCTCGTGGTGTTTGATGTGACATTCATCAGTTCTGAACACAGTCATACAACACGTTTAAGCAAAATAGAAGGAAATGAAGACAAAGCCAAGGAAGCAAAACAAAAGAGTCTCAAGGTGCCAAAAGCTTGTTAGCGCCGAGCTGCTCGACATCACCTCGAGGGCGAGCGATAGGCAGTGGGTTTAATGGTTTATGGGCATGGCCTGTGCAGAGGTGGGATGACCGAGTGGACAGGCAGCGTACGCGCAGGGTTTTGCCATGCTTCACAAGAAGACAAGGTCTGCTTTTGCTCAGGGCTGAAACCCCTCTCGTCCCCTAACCACCAGCGCCACGGGGCCGGTGAAATCACGTCACCTTCACACCCTCCGTGACAAAAACGCAAAGGAAGGCTCAACTCCGGGAAGGCGCAAATGTAGGATGTATGTTATGTGCTGAATGCTCCAAATGAACGGGGTAAGCAGGACTTACCTTGTCTCCCCCTTTCCACAGGTCTGCAAAGTGCAGACCCCTCGCGGATCCCGCTCAGGCCAACGTCCCAGCATGCCCTCAGCTGGTGATGTCCCACCCACCACTGAAGACTGCCTAGAGGGGTACAATGCAAGTCTGGTTTCGGTTTGTTTTTAAACAAGGTTGCACCTTTTTGTAAAGTTTTCTGCCAGTGGTTCTTTATCAACAGTGGGCATTAGGGAGAAAGACAACTCTACAAAAAGGTGCAAAGATGTGGGGGGGAAAGGGGGGGATTTGGCTTACCCCTAGCGGCAGGTTCCTCAATGGTGGGTGAGGCGAGACCAAGAGAGGGCATGCTGGGGGCCCGCACCGAGCCAGGGAAGGCAATCCAGGGTTGCTCTGCACTTTGCAGGCCTGTGGAAAGAGAAAGAGTGACAGGGACGTTACCGAGACGCCGGGAGGCTCGGGACATCCAGTGCATGACAGGAGAGAAGGTGCTGCAGTACGACCTCCAAGTCCTAAACAGAGGAAGCGAAGTCGACCTCCAACTGCATTGAGATTTTGGGAGCCAGTGGTGCTCTGAGAGGAACCAGGGCACCAAAGCTACCCCAAGACATAGGCACACACCCCAGAACGGAGGCACGGGCCACAAGACCACTCTCAAACCAGAAATACAACATCAGCTCAAAATCACCGGGTTTGACTCTGAGTCTCAGGAAATGTGCACACTTGGAAGTCAAGGTCATTCAGTAAATGCTTCCAAAACCAGCAGATTTGAAAGATAAATGATGGCTACATCAATAGATACATCTGGAGGGAGACACTGGATGTATCTTAATAGGGAGCTGAAAATTCTATGATTGCTCCTAATGGAGCAGCCTCCATCCTCCAGCCATGCTGACTGGGCGGCACCATCCTGGGGGGCACTTGCCCCCCAAGGAAGAGATGGCAAAGGCAAGAAGGAAGACTCCAGAGAGGGATTTCAGAGCTTGGGCAAAGCCAGACACAACGGGAAGACAAGAAAGGGAAAAAAAAGCAGAGGAAAAGGCAGGGAAACAAGGAATGAAGTGACCAAAGTGAAACACCACGTGGAAGCACAGAGAAAGCAGGAACACAGGCGCTGTGTATATTGTGTACTCTTGTCTTTCTGGTTAGTCAGACCTCTTTGCTCTATCAGTATGTTTTATGACACAGACTCCTGTGATGACACATGCTGACGCCGGGTTATTGTATGAGAAACGTGTGTTCACACACGTGCCACAGCCAGATCCTCAGCGTGGAAACGTGTTTCCACACCTCTGGCGCAGGGAAAAGGGGAAGGAGATCAAATCCATTGAAGACCAATACGTACCAGTTCAAACCATCCACCACGCTTTCCTAATTTGCCTACAACAGCCAAGACAACACCACCCTGGCATTCATCCTGACACAACCAGAACCACCGGAGCATCGGTAGAGGCCCAAAAGCCTGAGGATGGACTTCATCAGCATTAAGGCCAGTTTTTAAATTAGCAAGTTGGGGTAAACTCACACTTCCAGACACGTTTCTTCCCCCGGGGGTTTGCCTCCCAAAATCAGCAAAGGCTGGTGTGAAGTCTGGTCCTCGAGGCAGTATCCGGGGGTCCAGAGTTCTCAGTGGCAGTTTTGGCTGATTGACCTGCATCGTGGTGCAGAACAGACACAAACAGGACCTGTTCAGCACGTGCTGCAGCAGAGTTCACCCAAGTCTACAAACAATCTCTGCTAAACCACAACAGTTACATTTAATATCCAAACAAATGCTTTGAACAAACCGTGCAGGTTTTATGCATCCACACTTATATTACACATAAGCATTTAATGTAAAATACATCTTTGCAGGTGGCTCCTGAGGAGCTCAGTGACATTTCAAGGCTGAGCATGACTCTGGAGGATAAAATTAATGCTGACATGGGCCTGCCTTGGTTCAGGATCACAAAACTGCCACCTTCCCTCAAACAAATGTCTTTTGTGTTAACAAGACAGATGGCCAAGCAAGCAAAAGCAGCTCAGATGCAGTCAGAGCAGTGAGAAGCCATCACGGAGAACTAGTAGGTGGATGAAATCACTTGGGGAACAATTTGTCTGGGTATGAAATTCAGAGTGGAAACGTTTCTGCACACAAGGATCACCTACATCCTCATCTGTGCTTGAGCCTACTACAGAGTGAATCTGTAGTGGTTACATCAAAATCAATGAACTCCATAGTCCTCACTGAGAAGAGAATAAGGGCTTGGTGTCAGCACTTCAGAAATAACAAGTATTCCAGTAAGCACAGATGTACAGCAGGGAAAATCACATTTGTAATAAGGCTGGATAGAAATCACACAACTGCTTGTGAGCCAAGGTTTTATTATATCAGCTCACAAAGAGTGACATGACTGTTTCAGACCAAAGAGTTTGTCCAAAAGCTTGCCTAACCATAGAATTGATCTATTTAAATGCACCAGCTCTCCATACAGTCTTGCTTTGCTCCTTAAGTCTTCATGGCTGGATCATCTTAAATGTTAATAACAACCCAGTATAACTGAGTCCAGACAGAGACCATTAAAAATGCTTCAGTTCTTAAATCATCTGTGCACATTCATTAGGCACCAATGCCTCTACTGGAATCAACAGAGGCAATCAATATCAATACTATCTATTGGAAGTCTTCTGTGATGTGACACCAGCCACGTATTTCCCCTTCCCAACAGAAGCCTGCATCACACCAGTCCAGGAATAAAGCATGCACTTGGATTTTTATTTCAGGATTAAACACACTGCACATACCTGTTTTATTGGTTCTCCTCTCACTTTGTCGAGAACCACGTCGCTTATGGGAGGCAGCCCCTCTGGCTTTTGGATACAGGCAGGCATGAACTGGAAATCCAGCAGGAACTCCCTGTCGTACTGCTTCTTCCCTTCTGGGTCCAGGGGCTTCCACTGCTCTATAGGGAGAGAAGATGCCTGAGATTCATAGGGAACCAAACCCTCTGCTCTCCAAGAAGTGTTTCCACTAAATCCAAAGGGAAGAGGTTGCTACAGCTGCCTGGGAAGTTTTAATTCAGCTTTATTTTCCTTTTGAAGGCAGCGAGGAGAGGACACACATCAAACACTGGGGAGCGTATTGCCAACATCAGCAGCAACCTCACGCGGAACTGACCACAAAATCCAGTTTTAACCTATGTCATCTCGTTTCAACTCTGAATTCCACTCTCCTCTGTGATATGATCAAATGAGGCCAATTTCCAGATTTGGGGTGAAAACGCAGACCTTAAAGCAGGGGTTTTGTGTAAATATCCTTTGAAAACACAAGAACACGGAGCCTTTAACAACCCATGTTGGACGTAACAGTAGGAACTACAAGAAAACACACAACCACAGGCCACGCTCTAAGAGTTCCAACTTTTCACCCATTTTTTGCTCCTTTCCATGCAGAAGAACTATAGGAGAACCTCGCCTGATGCAAATCAAAATGTAAACCTACAGCCATTCCAGCACAAGGGAACTGAGCATCTGGAAGCCTAAAGATGGGATTTTCTTTCCTGGCTGCACAGTTTGGAGTTAGGAAAGCAAACCTGGATTTGCTCGGCAGCCAGGTTGGCTTTGTCAGGCCCCTGTGCTGGGGGCCCCTTCCCTTCTGAAGGAAAACATCTGTACAAGATGCTGCCTTTGTACTGCACTGGTGCCCAATGGCATCACTTCCCATTATTCCAGGTCAGGTTTGCTGTTAAAGGATTCTATTATTCCTTTATTTCAGTCCCTGATCACCAGCTTTAGGTCTCTTGGGTTCTCACCATCCTCATCCCTGCACAGGCCACAAACAGGAACTAATTTCAACAATGGGCTTTAGTAACTGGGAATGAAAATCCATGAAGGTGACTACAATTTTAAGATCTCTGTGCAGTTTTACTTCTGCAGAGCTTCAGGATAAAGGGGTGCAGAAAATGGTTTGGTGTCCCAGCCAGAATTCCCAGCCAGCTGCCTTTCCACTGTGCCACAACAGCCTCCATTTATCATGGAAAAGCACTGACAGCACCAAGAAACAGTCTGTATGCACAGCTTCCTTCTGCTGGAAGGTTCTCAAGAAGCTGTTTTAACATGAAAAGCAGCTGGGCACTGTCACAGGCAGCCCTGGCTCCCCAGGGTGGGCACAGACCAGGACTGAACACACAATTCCTCCTATGGAAAAAGGCAAAAACTCGCCCTCTTTAGAAAGAGCAGAGCTGAAATCGAGGGTCACTGCACCAAGCAGCCCGGGCTGCTTTGCAACCACAGTGTAATCACTTAACAGTGCTGCTCTTTGTCCAATACCTCACCCACCAGGCTCCAAAGGTCCTTCCTTATTCTGTTTTAGAGGTGAATTAACAGAGGTTCAGGTCTACAAATTAAATACCTTAATAAATAACAAAACCACACGTCAGGTCTCTATATCCAGCAAGGAAAGGACTGTATCGTGTGGGCCCACACTTGGATTACTTCATCAGAAGAACTGCACTCCCACAGTTCAATAGCAGAGCCTGGATGAAACCACCAACTCTTTCCTTTCCTTACTCTTCTAGGAACCTGAAGATCTATGCAACAGTTTACCCAGGAAATTAAATCTATCTAACACACATACTCATATTTCGGACCCAATCCGAACTTTCAAATCTCTTATTGAAGGAGTATATCCACTTACATGGAATTTCTTGGATCGTTCTCAGCTGTCAATCACACAGGAACCAATTCACCACCGTTTCCGTTGTGCTGCAGCCAATGTCCTCAAGAGCAACAAATTCAAGGAACTGGGGATTTTCTCCCCAGTTTTTACCACCAGCAAGAGAAAAATAACTTTCCTCTTGTGCTCCCCGCAAAGGAAGGAGCCTGTTGGGTGGTGGATCCCAGTGAAATGCTGAGTACTTTTCTAGCCCCACTGGAAACACCCTTTATTCCATGGGGAGGATGCACGGCTCTTAAAGGAGAGAGGTACAAACCCAAGCAAGCTCACAGGAGTCCGAGGCAGGATTTACCTGGTTTATACTGGTACACGGGCCCTTCGCCAGAGCTCTCGGTGAAGCCCGAGTTTGCTTCAGTTCCTTCTCCCTCGGAAATGCTCTCGGCACCGTTCCGCACGGGTTCCGCCTCCTGCTCTCCGTTTTCCTCCACAGGTTTCACTTTTTTAAGCTCAGAGGGGTCTCTCTCCAGTTGAAACCCATGGCTCATTTTCTCCTGGTCGGATTCAAGTACTTTGTCACCTGAAAGTTCCTCTTCTGCTTTAGGCTGAAGCACAAGATGGAAACACAAGAAGTTTTGTTAAAACCACCCTGCTGAGATTCAAAGCACGTGAAACTGCTCTTATTTATTCACACAGCGTTTCTGTGTGTCACAGGAATACACACACATCTGGAACAGTGACACAGAACAACCCGCAGAGCAACTGGGTGATTTACTGGTTCATTCCCGGAGAGAACCCACCGATAATGAACAGTGCAACTTAACGTTGCCCATGGAATCCCCAGGAGCTACTGGGATAGGATGGAAGGAACTGTTAAGCCCCACAGCCATGAGCAATCCCCAGCCTGGAAAGCCAACCTCACTCTTCTCCCCTCCTGCAGCTCAGCACCCCTCTTACAGGGCACATTGTACTTGGTTTCACAGAATCCCAGCCTGGTTTGTGTTGGAAGAGACCTTAAAGCTCCTCCAGTTCCAACCCCCTGCCACGGGCAGGGACACCGTTGCTCCAAGCCCCTGTGTCCAACCTGACAGCCAGGAGCACAGATACAAAGTGGTCACAGCTATCCTTCTGCTGAACACCTCTATTGGATTTGTCTCCCCCTTTGCAGTGCTGATTTCACAACGACAGCCAAAGATCAGTGCTGCAGAACTAACATTCCTCTTGTATCCCTTTTTAGCAGTCTGTGAAAAGGCAGCACTGCAGCACATCCCATCAGTGCTGGCAGAAGATCACAGAATCATAGAATCACAAGGTTGGAAAAGATCTTTAAGATCATCAAGTCCAACCATGGCTGCCCCATCCCTGGCAGTGTTCAAGGCCAGGTTGGACACAGGGGCTTGGAGCAACCTGCTCTAGTGGAAG